GCATCTTCTTATGTCATTAGACAAAAAAATTTAAGCAACATTTTTGATGTCTGTATATCTGTATCCAGACCAAATGGGAATTTTCATGAATTTCCATGACACCCTCTAAAATGCAGTCCTTGAGCATCCTGTTAGAAGCAGAATATGGGGCAGTGCTTCTCAAAATCTTATTCCTGTCTTAGTTCTTTTGGGCTGCCATAACAAAATAGCTTAGACTGGGTCATTCATAATTGTAACAGGAGAAATTTATTTCTCACAGTTCTGGGGGCTGGGAAGTCCAAGATCAAGGTGGCAGAAGATTTGGTGTCTGGTGAGGGCCCATTCCTCATAGATGGCAGCTTCTTGCTGCATCCTCACATGGTGGAAAGGCAAAAGGCTCTTTGAAGCCTCTTTTATCAGGGCCTAATCCCATCCTTGAGGTCAGAGACCTCATAACCTAATCACCCCCCAAAGGCCCAGCCTCTTAATACCATCACATTGGGGATTAAGTTTAAACACGAAACTTAATGTTTGTATTGGGGATACAGCCATTTAGACCATAGCAACCTCAAGTCAATCATCTTTAGAGACTGAGCTAGAGCAGTACGGACCAAAAAAGCAAAGCCCAGGTAGGATAGAGAAAGAAGCCAGGGCTATTAGCTACATTTTCCAGATGGGAAAACTGAGGCTTTAGACTCAGGCATGGAATAGTTTTGATGACTTGGCTGAGGTACTACATGGAGTGTTTTCAGGGTACCTGCCTGGGATTTGTTTTAATCGGATATGGTAAGACACAAAAATATGGAAATGACTGTCATGAAGGAAGAGGTTTTGATACTCACAGATCCCTAGAAACAGGAGGCCCTGCAAGACCATGGGAAGAAGCGCCTGGATCAGTAAGGAGGCAGAGGCAGAGAGGGGGAAGTGTGGGCAAGAACCATCATTGGGATTTCCATGGAAAGGAACTGGTGAGGCAGGGTTTGCAGGTATAGGATTGGTTGATCTGAGTAATTTCAGTGGGTTCTGGGGTGTAGGGGCTATCCCCAGTTGCCTGGGACCTGGCCCTGGGGTGAGTGGGGCAGGAGCTATTCCAGTGTCCAAGAATATGGGAGCCTGGTAGGGGCATGGGATCTGGATTGGTTTGCAAATGAAAGGTGCACTCACAGGCTAGTCCTTCACTATCTCCAGGAATTGGCTAGCCCTAGAAGAGGCAGTCCCTCCAAGGTCAGCAAGGCCCCAGGTGTCAAAGCATCAAAAGCACATGGTTAATGAGTGGAGCCTCCAGCAGTGATGAGGTGATCAAGCAGGTCTGTGTCCAAGCAGGACTTAGTGTGGGCTTTATCCACAGGGTGGCAGGGGAGAGGTTTACTAATCACAGCAGAAGGAGAATGTCACCAGTGCACACAGTGAGAAGCTTCGAGTTGTTCATCCCTGACTCAGCCCTGCCATCAACCAGCTTATGGTCAGAGACTGTCTCTGACTCCCTGTGGCATCCACTGGTATCACGTGCTCTTTAGTGGCGGGACAAAGGGGACAGAGGGGAAATGAGCATTTTTGGGGTAGTTCCTGTGTGCTAGTGGTTTCCATGAAATGCTCATCAGTGTTTTTTTCTCAGCCCTGTCGCACGTGCGCTGCATTGTTTTTGCTGATTTGCAGATGAGAAAACAAAGGAGCAGAAAAGTGCCAGACCTAATGTGGCTGTCAGAATACCATAGACTGAGTGACTTAGCTTATAAACAACAGAAATGTATTGCTCACAGTTCTGGAGGCTGAGAAGTCCAAGATCAAGGCAGATTAAGTTTCAGGTGAGGACCCACTTCCTGGTTCATCAACAGCATCTCCTTGCTGTATCCTTACATAGTAAAAGGGAAGAGGCGTCTCTCTTGGGCCTCTTTTATAAGGGCAATAATCCCATTCATGAGGGCTGTGCCTGCAGTACCTCCCAGAGGCCTCACCTCTTAATACCATTACCTTGCAGGTTAGGATCTCAACATATGAACCATGGGGGCGACACAAGCATTCAGACCATACAGAGGCCAATGAGGGGTGGAGGGGTGTGAACCCAGTTCTGAAAGCCTCTCTAAGTATCACCAGGCCCACAGCACAAGGTCATTTGGAATCATGGTGCTGCCTAGTTGGGTATATGAGTGATGTTGAGGATGCAGGAGAAAGAGGAACCAAGGAAGAGGCAAGGCAGGAATGGCTTTGTCAAGGAAATGGTAGGGCTGGCTGATTGAAGAGAAGATGCTACCCTAGTTCAAACAGATTGTTTTAAAGAGGACAACAAAGAGATGCAGAGAGGGGAAGTGTTTTACCCAAAGTCACACAGCTGGTTTATAGCCGTATCTGAGATGTGTCCGCAAGTCTCCAATTTCCCAAGAACTGTAGGATAAGTCTCAACCTAATGATTTCCTGCATCATTTGAATCTGGACCTTTTCTTATCAACAACCTAGAACCATGGCTTTACCTGACTCAGTGGATTCCAAAGGGCTTAGTTACACCGGCTCAGGTTGCAAACAGTGATCTTTGTGATAGGACACCAGAGCTTACTGTTGTGTGACTGGAAAATTAGGTGAGTCAGAGCCAAGGTCATGGGCTTGTTTTGTGGCCCCAGACTGACCCCTTGTTCTTATTTGCAGATAACAGAATCTACATTAGCTAGTTAAAGCAGAAAAGGATTTATTAAGGGCACAGCTAGCTCAGATTCATGGGGAAAGCTGAAGAAATGGCTGAACTCCCAGGAATTCCTCCCCAAACTGCAGTGAAATGGGGCCACCGTGAAAGCTGCTGCCTCTGATATAATCATGAAGGTGTTACCACTACTGCAGTTTCCAAGAGCCATGACACCTCTGCCACATTCTGCACCAGCAAAACCGTGCCTTGAGCCTTGCCATTCTTCCCCTATAACAGGTCTGAATCCGTCTCATACAAATGCTTCTAACTGGCTGAACCCAAATTGCATCCAGAACCCTACCTGCAAAGGAGTCTGGGAAATGTCATTTTTAGCTTTCCTGCCTCTGTAGTACAGAAGATCTAGAGATAACAAAGCCACTGTCTCTGTGTTTGAGATGCTCGTGGTTTGGAAAGAAACGCAATTACATAAACACACAATTGTACTATTATGTAGGTGCAAAAGTAATTGCGGTTTTTGCCATTACATTAAAAAAAAAAAAAAAAAGGCAAAAACTGCAATTGCTTTTGCACCAACCCAATACAATGTTATTTGCTCTAACTAAGAGACAGTGAGCAGGGGGAGTCCAGGGTCAGGATCAGAGGAGGCTTCCCAGCAGTGTGGTTACTCGAGCCAGGTACTGAAAAATCCATTTGAGTTTGCCAGATGAGAAAGACAGAAAAGGAGTTGTAAGACACAAAGGTGTTTGACATTTTGGGGATCTTCAGTACCTACTTCTTATTAACTTGGCCTGAATTCTTTTATGACATGAGAACAAAGAGCCAATTTATTTTGTAAATAGGGACCAATTTGTTGTGGAGAATATTTTAGTATCTTAAAATATTATGTAAAATTATTTAAATATGTAATTATAGTACTTAAAACTATTATATTTAAATTATTAAGGACAAATATTTATAAATATAACTTTTAAAGTATCACAGTATTATTTTAATGACAAAATGACAATACAAATACAATGATAATAATAAAACTACCAATATTTGTAAAAGAAACCAATATATTGGGTAAAATGTTTCAGCATTTCTAAAGCAGCACATACATAAGTTTATCCAGTGTGTAAGGGTATGTGGGAAATGACCACTGCTGCGTGTAGTGGTTTCTGGGAGATGCTTGAGCGATGCCTGATTTCCAATGCTTGGCCCTGGGGAGCCCCTCTCACATCTGATTCTTGCAGACTACCTGTTGCAAGGCCACTGATCCCGTATTTACAGTGGTTTGGCCTTGCAGGCTTCTGGATTCATGATGTTAAAGCTGTCCTGGGATCCAACCCTCCCAGCTCCATCCACCCCTGCCTCTGAACAACCGCCAGGAAGAGAGGGGCCATGAGGAGAGAGCTCACTGGGCCTCTGCCACAGGAGGCCAGAGGGCCCTTTCCAGGGGACACCAGCCATGCTCATAGCCAAGTGGCAGAAAGAGCAGCCTTGAGTCAGCATGCAGGTTCCCACCTTGGCTCTGCCACCTTCCAGCTCCAGGGGTCTGGCACCTTAGTTAATTCCCAGAGCCTATTCAGGATGCTTGTGTCACTTTCCTCATAGGCTGATTAGAAAGATTAAAAGTGAATGCATCCATCCACATCAAATACTTGGCCTGGCGCTTAGCCTATAGTAAGGGCTTAGTAAGTGTTGGCTGAAATTGGCATTGATATTCTGCATGAAGCTGGCAGAGGGACCCTGAGGTGGCTGTGACATGCCTGGAGCCAGCTGGTGCTGGAAGGGGCTTGGTCTCTTCTGCAGGTAGACCTAGACCAAGCCCTGGTCCTGCCCTATACGGAGAGTGTGACCTGGAGCTCTGTCTGATTAGCCTCAGTATTCTCAGCTGCCAAATGGGGAGAAAGGCACATCAGTCTCAGTTATGTCACAGTATGGGCACGAGGATCAAGTGGGCAAGGGGCAGGGAATGGAAGGGCAAGCTGGAGGCCTGAAGGCTCACTGTCGGACTCCCAGTGCTGTGCCAGAATGACTCTGGTCTCTCTGCTTTCTCTGATCACAGTATACACAGCATCCCTCTTCCTCCCCTCTCCTTCCCAGCCACAAACTTGGAACCAAACCTGTTTCTGAACTTCCCTGTTTGCTGAAATCGGTTTATGCTTCTGTAAATGCTTACACTCCCAGGGGAGTGGGGCGCTGAGAGTAATTGACCACCCAGTGATCAAGCCAGAGGGCCCCGTGGTCTGCCTGAAGCCCCTAATGGGTCATCTGCTGGGATGGGGTTGGTTGGCTTTATTTATTTCACTGGGACAGACACTCCACCCTGCAACAAGAGCTCCTGCAGGCCCTGGACATCCTGACCTGCTTCTCTGTTTAACCTGTCTCTGTTGGTCCCCAGGTACTTTGAATTTTACGAGGGGCCTTTTGAATATAACTCCACAAGATGCCTGGAGCTGAGGCACGAAATATTGGAAGTGAAGGTGCTGTCCATGTGAGTGTGGCCATTTGTGGTGGGTGGGGCAGGGGTTAGGGGTGGGTGAGGGGGGCAAGCATGGAAAGAAACAGGAAACACGTGGTAGGTTCCTATAGAGCGTAAAGTAGGTCTCCTTCCCCAGAGCCACTGGCATTTGGAAAGCCCTGGAGGGCTGGAACACAGTGATGATTGTGCCTGTTTTATGACAAAAGGCCAAGTTTGCAAGGTCACCTCTGGTGACTCGGTGTTAAAGTCCCCGCCTCAATTACCGGTCTCTTTGATTATCATCGCTGGCTCCTCTTGTGTAGAAACTGAAGAGGGCACCGGACTTTCTTGCCTGAAATTCAGTACGTTGCACCGCAGGGTTAAGCGTTGCCCTCTTGCTATCACCTTTGATGGTTTTAATTTTATTAAAAGTTTTGATTTTTAAATTATTTAAATGATACAAAATTTGTGTGGTACAGATGGTTATTCAATGAAGAGCCACGGAGTTCTCCCCAGGGTGACGATGTGGCTTTGGGTATCCTTGCAGAATCAATGCATGAGTAAGAATCTGTGTATGGAGATTTAAAAAGTTTTTTTTTTTTTGCATAAATGGTAAAAGAGCTATGCTCCCCACTCTCCGTTTAACAGTACATCACCTATGACTCTTCAACCCACAGGAGGGAAAACACATTACATACTGAACGTTTTAGCATGCATGTGCCCACCTGGGTTTCCGCCCTTCACAGAACTGCCATGAATTCAGCAAACCCATTTAGAGGAATTGGTACTGTATTAGTCATGACAGAATCTGTATTTATTTGGAAACCGTTATATCTGGATGTGGAAAAAATATAGTTTATTCAGAGGCAGGCAATGTTGGGTGCTCAGATGGACTCATGGGCCCCTGACATAACCCCAGGGGCATCTGGGGTCCCTGACCCTCAGGTAGGGACCATTGTTCCTTTACCCACCTGACATGATTCCAGCTAGTGTGCATCAGGGGGAGAGCATGGGTCTTGGGGTGGGCCAACCTGAGATCCAAAGCTGACTCTGGGCCTTAGCAGATCTCAATCTTTCTGCAAATGTCTTAACTTCTCTGAGCCTTTCCTTACCTATGAAAATGGGGACACTATTACCTACCCTTTAAGGGTTGCTATAGACTAGCTGAAATAAGGCATGTCAAAGTAGATAGCCCAGGATCACGAGGTCAGGAGATCGAGACCATCCTGGCTAACATGGTGAAACCCCATCTCCACTAAAAAAATACAAAAAGTTAGCCGGGTGTGGTGGCGGGCGCCTGTAGTCCCAGCTACTCTGGAGGCTGAGGCAGGAGAATGGTGTGAACCCGGGAGGCGGAGCTTGCAGTGAGCCGAGATCACGTCACTGCCCTCCAGCTTGAGCAATAGAGTGAGACTCCTTTTCAAAATAAATAAATAAATAAATAAAATAAAAAAAGAAAGTAGATAGCCCAGCAGCCTGCATGCTCAGTAGCGCACATCATAGGTGTTCAATAAATGTCAGCACCCATCTCTCTCTTTCCTTCCTTCCTTTCCTTTTTGGAACTAGTAGCAGCAGCTTTTCTGGGCTGTCATGCACAGACTCCATAGCTCAGCAGTTCCTGGAAAGCTCCAAGGGTGAGACCAGCATCCAGCTGGGATTAGCTGCATTGTTTATGGCCCCTGTCCTAACCCACGGTCTCTGTACCCTCTCTAGAGAAGGTGGGATACAGACGCCACTCATCAGTTTCACTGAGCCCTGGGCTGAACACATACCACTGTGGTGCCCGCCCTTGTAGAACTCACAGCCACTGAGGGGGACAGACATTAAATAACCAGTTACCACAAGAAGCCAGGGTAGTGACCGGAAACCCGACCCAGGCTGGGGCTAGGGGGAGGTTGTCAGGCAACGCTTCCCTGAGGAAGGGATACTAGAGCTCCAGTTTGAAGGGTGACAGGAGCTAACTAGGCCAGGAGGGCTCCAGGTGGAGGGAACAGTTTGTACAAAGGCCCTGTGCCAGGAAGGAGCCGGCTGTGTCCTGGACTCTGAAGGATGAGGCAACTCAAATGCCGGCGTGAGGGGGAAGACACAGAAGCTGCATTGCTAGAGGGTCAGGTAGGGCCAGACCATATGGAGCTTCATGGTACAGACTCAGGTTTGGGTTTTACCTTTATCCAAGGGCCACGAGAGCCACAGGAAAGGTTTTAAGCAGGGCCTGGGGCATGTGAGCTGGTTGGTATTTTAAACACGCCTCCAAGGAGTTTTGATTTAGTGGCAAAAATGGCTGTCGGAGCCAAGTTCAGAAGCTGGTAGCAGAGAGTCTGTCTTCTCAGAATTCAAAGCTTTCAGACCCTTCCGTGTTTTACTGTGCAAATCCAGAGCACTGTGGTTGAGAGCACACCTTCAAGATTTCAGAGAATAAATGATTCATTTCTTTTCTTTCTTTTTTTTTTTTTTTTGAGACAGAGTCTTACTCTGTCACCCAGGCTGGAATGCAGTGGCGCAATCTTGGCTCACTGCAACCTCTGTCACCCGGGTTCAAGCAATTCTCCTGCCTCAGCCTCCCGAGTAGCTGGGATTACAGGTGCCTGCCACCGTGCCAGGCTAATTTTTATATTTTTAGTAAATTCGGGGTTTCACCATCTTGGTCAGACTGGTCTTGAACTCCTGACCTCATGATCCACCCGCCTTGGCCTCCCAAAGTGTTGGGATTACAGGTGTGAGCCACCACGCCCAGCTGACTAATTTCTTTAAATTATAAAATGTATAGTTTCTTCATGGTTACTTCAAGGTCTGGACAGGAAGATTTAAGAAATCCTGTGAATGGGTCATCCTTCTGGGGAACTTCCCATCCCTCTACGTGTGTATTTTCTGTATGCTGGTGTTAGGTCCTATATCAGTTTGCTGTAACAAGGTACACAAAACTTAATTCTTCCACAATTCTGGAGGCCAGGGGTCTGAGATGAAGATACTGCAGGGTTGGCTTCTTCTGAGGCCTCTTTGCTTGGCTTGCCAATGGCCTTCTTCTCGCTGCATCCCTATATGGTTGCCACCGGTCTGAGTCTTGCCTGTGCCCTAATCTCTCTTTGTAAGGGCATCGGTCATATTGGATCAGGGCTCACGCTAATGGCCTCATTTTAACTTCATTACCTCTTTAAAAGCCCTATCCCCACAGTAGCCCATGCCTGTAATCCCAGCACTTTGGGAGGCTGAGGCGGGTGGATCACCTGAGGTCGGGAGTTTGAGACCAGCCTGACCAACATGGTGAAACCCCATCTCTACTAAAAATACAAAAATTAACTGGGCATGATTGCACACATCTGTAATCCCAGCTACTTGGGAGGCTGAGGCAGGAGAATTGCTTGAACCCAGGAAGCGGAGGTTGCAGTGAGCCGAGATTGTGCCATTGCACTCCAGCCTAGGTGACAGAGCAAGACTCCATCTAAAAAATAAACAAACAAAAAAAGGCCCTATCTCCAAATACGGTTTCATTCTATGGTCCTGGCGGTTAGGACCTCAGCATATGAATTTTGGGGAGACACAGTTCAGCCCACAACAGCCCCTGTCACAGCTTCCATTTAGGGCTAGATTAGAAATTACCCAGGGCCATTGTTTTGAGCTCAAAACACAAACACTGTTCAGTGTGATGGACAACCTCATATGTCCCCAAGGTCTGACTGCACTCTCTTTAGAGAGGAACATGAGAGACAGTCACCTTCCGTTGATTCCACTTGCCATCCCTTGTCCCTGTTATGGACTCCCATTGGTGGTGTTTGGGCCTCTCCACATTTGGCTTTGGTTCTCATCTCTGCCTCGGGGCACTCTCTCTGTCCCCAGGGGCTGGGCTCCTGGGGTGAGCAGCCATCCTAGCTGGGGCTCCTGGCTGAGCTGGACTTTGCATGCCCTGCCTATTCTACAGCAGTTGCCCCTCTGTGGCACCAAGCCCTGGGGATCTGAGAGGGAAGGAGAGGCTGGGCTGTTCATGGGGCATGAGTGTGTGTGCCTCCTTTCCTGAGTCTAGGCTGAGGGTCAGTAGGTCCTCCAGGGCTGAAATCAGAGAGCTGCAGAGGCCCGCCTCTGATCCAAGTGGTTCTGACATTATCTGGGCACCCGGGGGCTTCACTGTGTTCCAGTCCAGTGCCATGAGAAGCACTCACAGAGGCTCTGACCCTGAGTCCTCGGGAAAAGGTTAAAGCCCACCTGTGAATGGAGGGTCTGATGGATGCGCTGTGTCCTTTGGGCCCGCAGAATGTCAGCTGGTGTTTTGTTTGAGGAGACAAGGAGGTGTGTGATTCATCTGGGAACGATTCTGATCCACAATTGCTGAAATCAGTGGTAAAAATCAGTCAGCCAGAAAATCCCCACATGGAAAATTCTTCCCTCCCTGACCGTGTCAGATACATGAAGAACGACTCCATGATGATTTGTTATGAAAACGCATTGTCACTAATTCTTACTAAAATTATTTACACTTGTCATCTAGAGCTCCTTTATTTTAAAATAAGAATCTTCAGTTGCTGCCTGTGCTCACACCCAGGTGGGGGTCGTGCAGGATAATTCCCCAGGCCAGCGTCTCCTATCACCCTTCCCCATTTTTCTGCCACTGGGAGCTCTGTGCTGAGCCCAGTACTGAGACCAAGGAAGAAGCTGGGAGCAAAGGCCAGCTGGGCAAATGCCCACTCTCTGGACTGGGAGTCCCTTTTGTGCCACTGCAGTGTTCACAAGTCTGTGTCCTCTGCCAGGCGGAGGTTCCTGGAGGGCCAGGACCCAGGCTTAGGCATCTCTGAGTCTGGCCCTGTGCCAGCTCAGTACTCACATGTTAAATGAATGAGTGGACAGAGGGAGTGGGTGAGACCCGGGTGCAAACAGGAGGCCATGGAAGAAAAGAGGGAGAAAGAAGACTAAAGAAAGAATCACTCTCATTTCATTACGATTAGTGCCCAGCTTCCTCCCACATTTCCCCAGTTGAGGGGTATTACTATTTTTAGTCTGTCTGTAGATTATCTAAGTAATCAATTTCTTGTTCTACCAAATAT